TTAGTAGAAAATGACTATTATTAAAGTAAAGAATAAAACTTTCTATTGAAAAAAAAAAAAATAAAAAAGTTGAACTGCACTTGAATTGTCAAACTCGTTTATAATTCAAGGTTATAAAAATTTCTTGCAATATTGACGCGTTGTCAATAGCAACTATGCTATGCATGTTCACTCGGTTGATCAATCAATACAAAAAGGAAAACACAGTTTATATCAGTCAGTGATAAAAACTGTTGAATGAATGAAATAATCAAAATTGAAGTGATTCAATATTTGCTCAGCTAAAAAAAGGAATCATTTTACAAACAATTATTTTCAAGCATTTAAATCATGCTTACATTAATAATAAATATGACCTTCACTTGAAAGTAAAAAATTCATATTTAATAGAATAATAAGAATTACGTGGTAATGTAATAAATTTGTATGAAATAAAAGAAAAATATATAGCGAAATTCAGTTCACATTATTTTACTGCTAAACTTAAATTATTGACTCTCAAAGTAATTATTTTAAAAAATGTAATAACTAACATTTGTATTAATAATAAAATTCTTTAGTTGCAAGATTATAATTTCTTCAATGCTTCGTACAATTTATGATCTAGATTAATAGAAAAATCGCTCAGCTTTCAAGCAATTATTTGAATGAATGAAGCAATCGTTTAAATTAGCTATGTAATAGTTACTATTTGTAATATTTGCAACGGTGATTACAATAACCACCACATTAATAATATTAATCAAAATAAATTATTCTCAATTATCGTTTTATTAATAAATTAAAAGGAATAAAAGTATTTTAAAATCTTCAATAATATTTCTATTAATAGAAATAAAATAAACTATTCATTCCACTAAAGCATGAAGTATTAATCTTTTAACAAAAAACTATTTTTAATGATGTGTTAATTTTGAAGAAAAAAATTTATCGATGGTTTTTTAATAAACACAATAGAGTAAAGTGTATACATTCCCTTTAAAAAAATTTTATGCAACGGATTTTTAATCTCATTAATGTTAATGTATTGATAAAATAAGAATACCCTATTGTTATGAAAAATTGAAAATACATAAAGAAAAAAATTCCATAAATGTTACGTCGATATTTAAAATAACTTTGCGAGATCTTTCTGCCCCTAAAATCGAAAGTCTCGAAGACTGAACTCGAATAGAAAGCAACAGCAGGCAAGCCTGTCCATTGCTTTATAATGGAACAGTTAAGGTCTTGGGCTAAATGATTATACAGCATAAAGCCAAGCAGGTATAAAAAGGAAAAAAAAATCTTTCAAAAAATTTAAAATACGTTTTCACAACGTACATATATGTAATATGTATTAAAATACTATCGACTGTTGTGATGAATTTTAAAATTGGAATTGTCATGACAATAAATTCAAAGTAGTGCTTCAAAATACACATAATCATTAATGACAATATTTATCATACTCCAAAACAAATATAAATAGCTGAAAAGTTTTTGATTGAATCTTCTTTTTTCTCGATAAATAAAAAAAAATTCTCATTAAAACAAGAAGTGAATTGAAAAATTTTCAGAATAAATATGGAAAGAGGTGTGATCTCTATATTCGGAATGAATTAAAATGAAATAAAAAATATTTACATACATGTAAACCCCACATGTGCAAAAAGAAATCTAGAAGTATGTATGAAGTGAAAGAAAAAAAAAACTAAGGAAATATAAAGGCAAAAGGGGAAAGATATCAAAGCAACTTTATCTTTCAAAGTGTTAATTGCAATTAGAAGTGTAAAACTGCTTGGAGACATCAAAGAAAAAGACGGATCAAACATGATGCGTATAAATTTCTTAATCATCCTCTCATGAGAAGTAACGAGGGGAAGAATAGTAGAGGGGAAGAATATTGTAATTTATTGTGAGAATGAAAAATGGAATATATGAATATTTAAATTATGTATACGAAGAATAAAAAAAGATTGTAGAAAAATACAATGAACACAAAGAATTGTTAAAATTTTCATTAGCAGACAAAGAATTAAAAACATTGAATAGGATTTTTACTCTTTTATTTCTATCTGTTGTTTTAATTTTAAAAACATTCATATGTCATCATTTTTATAAATTGTTTCCGCCTGGCAAATCTCATATTCAGTCAAGATCATGATTTTATCATGGAAAAAAACCACAATTCGTCATTAAACAAGAGTCAGTGAGTGATAAAAATAATTTATCAGTCTATTAGATTATTTGAATTGTTTCCTTGAAATCCCACAAATCATCAAAAATATCATTATTCAATAAAACTTGAAATAGAATTCGATTGTAAATTACGTTCATATTACTTTTATTGTATTCCTTTTATTTCTTACTTGCGGAACAGTTAATCGAATGCATTGCTTTAGCTAGAAATCAATCGAATTCCCTTTACTCCTCATCTCCTATCCATAAAGTTTTGCTCTTTATTCGAGATGGTATCCGCATCTACACACACACACACACACACATTTAAACTCGAGTTAAATTGTCCTCTATGTCCTCTCTCGTATCTTTCGTTTTCTCTCATCACTTACAAGTTAACTTGTAATGTAACTACTACATTGATGAATGTAATTAACCCACTTTATTTTAACAACAATGCAATTAATTGACTAATTGGCTATTTATTGATGTGGGAAAAATATATTATTAATTAATTATATTACTTGATCGAAAACAAAATAATTTCAACGAATTGATTATTTTTAGTATAACAAAAGGTAGATTGATAAAAAAAGAAAAATGTCTACAAAAATATTATTTATAGTTCATGACAATGAACAGTTCTATAAATATTTGAAAAAAAATTACAAAGAAAAACTGAGTCAGCGAATAAATGATTATCCAAAAAAATATTCCGTGTTTTTGAATTTCAAACTCGACTATTGTAATGTCGTTGGTGAAACTGGAACAGATGTTTATACCTGACTTAGAAAACAGTTGGATTTAATGAATGCCTAAACTGAACTTAAATTTCTTAAAACAGCTTAAAAGATTTACTAGATGAAATCTGACTGATCCACTTGTGATGAAAATAAAATTAAGATCAGGATAAAATAAATAATAGTCATAAAAAAAGATTAAAAAGTAATACTCAGTTATTAGCTTGTCCGTTATTCCATTAAATTAAAAAAAAAAAATAAAAAATAACAAGATATTTATCATCATAATCTGATGATTAAAATTGTATTTTAGTTTTATTATGAGTAATATCATTTTGAATCAATGATAATCAATCAACTTCAACGTTCAATTTTTCCAAATCCAATAATTGATTGTTATTTAATTTTTATTACAGTACACAATAAGTTATTCAATCAACTATACTCCAATATTTTTCGCCATCATTAGACAGTTTTTGTATAAATAAATTTTCGCTTGAAAATTAATTAATTAATATAATATACTTATTTTCTCGATAATTAAATGTTGATTAAAATTAACATTTTGTTATTTAGATTGAAATTTATGCATATTTATACGATCTAATTAAACGTTATTATGAGTAATTGTAGCAAAAACGTTAAAAGTAGTTGATTGATTCATTCTCGGTATTTTCATTATTAATTTAAATTTGAATTAATATGAATAATCTCAATCACGTCGATAATTAAACTTTCAAATATATAATTGTTTATCTATCATTTTATGATTTTCATCAGCATAAAAAAAGAATTTAAGATTGAAAGATTACATAGAACTATGTTAATTTGTGTTGGGTTTGATAAGCCACCCGATTACGATTTTCATTTTAGATAACAGAAATTAGAGCTTTTCATTTTGAATTCGAGGTGATATAGTGAATGGTAAAATGTGAAAATAATAATAATAACAATCATTAGAATAATAGTTAATAATTGACAAAAAATAATAATGACATTTCTTGTTATTCTAATAATATTATTTTAAAACTTTAGTGAGACTCAGAAGGTAGGATTGCATAAAAATTTTGTATTATTATTTCTCTAATAATAACAACATGCATTGAAAATAGTTGAAGAAAAAAAAGTAAAAACTCGAAAAATAATTAGTTACTTAGTAAACAATAATATTTAGATTTCAAATTACATAGAAAGACTAAATAGTGCAGATGAAGTGAATAAGATAAAAAAATAAAATACAGGTGAAAAAGAGAAATAAGTATTATTTATCTTGGAATTTGCAGCATCAATTCATATATCATAATAGCTTAGACACAATGAACAACGGCCATTGCACCTAAAAACCTTCAATTTATATTTGGAGCCCAACTGTGTCTATTACGTAAAACTATCACGAGATGGCGTTAAAACTGTTCTTACAAACTTTTTCCAAAATTGCTCCAATTAATTATTAATTAATTCCTAGATTTTAATGCGTCTATAAATTAAATTTAAAGCTTATTCGTTAAAGGAAATTGAAGTGGCTTGTGTATTCCAAACTTACCGGCTCAGCCGTGTATGCTGACAGAATGGAATCCAGCTTAGTACGGAAATTTCACTGACACCACAAAAATAAAATAAATATTGTATTGAAACTACTTATAACTAAAGTAAGTTTCTTCTAATTATGTATAAAATACGGTCATTTATCGACTACACAGTGTATAACACCAAACACTAGTCAAATGACTCGTAAACAAAATACAGTTGTGTATAGTAGTAATCACAAATGTTTTCTAAGAAAACGTAAACACGTGATATATAATTCCACAACTGAATAATTGAGTAAACACTTAACTTGCAGCTTTCATTAAATTTTCAATTTAATATCAAGATTGCACTAAAGTTTTACTGGCAAAAACGTGGTTATGTTAACGAATCTCGTGGCGTAACAGACAGCGTGGCAAAACGACGCGCGCTCCTCGTGGTGGTCGGCGCGGGAATGACTAAGCGACGCGGTGGTGACTCCAAAATGGTGGGGACAAGCAGCGCAATAGGAGAGTAGTCGACAAGTGGGAGAAAATTAGAAAGGTAGAAATAAAAGTGGGAGACTATAGTAGAAGGGGAACTTGATTCTGTGCAATTCTGTACTTAGACACTTTATTTATTGTAGCTTTTAACAAGTGCAATTACAAAACGATTTTTTCAATAGTATTCAAAGAAAAATCATTCAAGCACATATCATTTAATTTGATACATTCATTATGCAGCTATTGTGTAAGTATTCAAGCAATTATTTCATTGTAGGTATAATATCTAAATACACATTAATATGATATGTGTTGCATCGTATTTATTTATTTATTCATTGTCATGTTTTTGCATTCAAAACATTGTAAATAAGGATTATTGTTCATCACATTAATGAATGATAATTTATTTATATGAATATTTTTAACTAGCATTCGTCGACGAAACTTTTATGAAGCATTAATGAGTTAATTTAATAATAGGTTATAAATGAGATTGAGGTTGGAATCTGAATGCAAATGTACATAAATATTTGTTTCTAGGATTTTGTTGGAATAATGAGATGAATTAAATGGAGAATATCTAAGAAGTAGGAAAGTAGTAGATGAAGAAGGAGATAGAATAGAAAGAGGTTAAAAAATACAGAAAAATGGAAGGGCAGTTCAACGTTATTACATTTCCACGTGGACGTCATAGGAAGACTTTAATTTTAGAAGTATTCAAATTTATTTAAATCCAATTTCCTCAGCTTCAATATTAAATCCGTTTTGTCGTGGTTTCCACCCTTCATGCTTCCTCCCTCTGTCCGACCTGTAGAACCTATAATACTAACGACACTCTACTCTTATTTCTTTCTCCTTCTTTTTCATTTTTTTTCTTCCTTTCAAAACAGTCTTTTACACATTTCCAATACACTGATTTTGTTTTTATTATTGCGTTTACTGACTATTGAATTGGAATGATTCATACTAATATTTTCCTTCATAATTTCATTTATAAATCTTTCTTAAATGAAACATTCCATCACAAAAATGATATGAATTTTTTTTACAGAATATCAACTGGAAATTTTTATTACAATAAGAAATAAAATAGAACTCAATTAAAAATTTTAATTACCGCAAGATTTTTTATGGATATATTGCAGGAATTAGAATGATGTGAATAGCTGAAGTAAAAAAAAATTTTGTTTTCTTAATGAAAATGAATTTTTTTTCTTCATCAAAAGCATTCATTATAGTGTTTAATGAGTTATTCAATTTATATTTTTCTAATATTAGCAAAAATGGTTAAACATAAAAAAATCTTGAGAAAAAAATTTCATTAAAACCAAGAAGAAAGATAAGAATTTTATATCCACAAATCTTGATTAAATATTCACTAAATATATTGAATTTGCTGAATTTGAAAATTATTAAAAAGGAAATAATCCAAATTGAATTAGTTTTACTTTGAAATTAGATCATGCTTTTAATCAGATCTATTTTAAGCATATCCAGAGTATTACTCTTTCATCAAACAAGATTTAATGTCGAGTACGTTTACTTTGATGTGCAATTTCTACTTCATACTAATCTCATATTCTTATGAAGATAAATAAATTACTGTAAGCATAAATATAGATTTGAATTTCAATCTACTATAATTTCTAATTGGGTTGAACAAGACAAATGGGATCAAAATAAGAAAAGGGTAATGAATAAAAGCCCATTAATAGTGATGGCTGGTGTGGGAAAAAGAAGGAGACTAATTGTACGTAATGTAAATGAATGAAATGCTCATTTTTATTTTGATGTGACAAAAATGAGTTCAATTCGTCTGGGTTCATTCTAATTAATCATCAAGAATAAAAGTTAGTACTTTTAATTAGTCTAGAGTACATAGTTCTGTTCAATTGTTCATAAAGTTTTATTTCAAAGTCTTTTTAGTGACTCGTTAAAATATTTAGTAATTTTTATTCATTTAATGATAATAAAAACAATGATTTTATTTTAAATTACTCGAAATGATTCAAGTTTGTATTTAAACTCATTATGTACTAATTAAAATGATGAAAGATAAGGGTATATTTTTTTAGTTGAAAGAATGAATGTTAAAAGACCAGTTTCTGCTATCATTAGAGTGATCTTGATCTTGATTAACAATAAATGGAATTCGTTGAAGCAACCGTATCAGCAGTGGTAGTTAGCTAACGAAGTAGTGATTGATCTTGATGTAGTCGATACATGACACAAAAGAAGAATTCTTCAATTGATTACAGCTTCAATGATTAAAATAAGATTGAAGACTTCTCAAGAGTCATCTTCATTACTTGTTTCAACGATAGAGAAATACACATTTGAATATACATACACTCATGTTCTCAATTAAGAGATCAAAAGGCTTCTTAAATAACAGCCATTTTTTTAAGCATTTAATATTCTAAGTGGACAAGTAATAAAAGAAAAAAAATACTTTTTCTCTTTTAATTAAACTTTTATTTGAAATTTATGCTTCCAATTAGCCGATTAATAAAATATTAAATGATAATTTAGTTAAATGATTAATCATTTATATTCTAATGAATATTTTATTTAATGAAACACGATATTAATTATTTACATTTTGTATAAATAATATTTTTGATGATCTTTAAACTATCTTTCAAATCATTCTATTAATTACGATGTAAAGTAGTTATATCATCTTCTTCATTTGATTACGGATGTTATCAAACATAAAAATTTTTAATTATTGAAAAATGGGTAATTGATAGACATTTGTTCAAATGAACTTGATATCATAAATTTAAAATAGTTCTAATAAAAGTAACATTGTCAATTATATTAAGTTAGTTAATTTTGTTATCTCAACGTTGCATAATCATGCACAAAAACATACTCGTCATTATTCAATTATATTACGTGATATGACGAAATCGTATTATTGAATAATTACAATCTTGATGTAAAATAGCCAGAATTTTATCTACTATACTGATTCACAGGAAATTAGATTTTATTAAAAATTACTGCAGAGTAAATTCAAATAAAATTAATCTTTTCCTGTTAAATAATAGAAATCATAGATAAGTGACATAGAAATAGGAAATTTTGAGATTTATATTGTAATATATTTCAATACAAAATATATGAAATAATGGATAGAATTTCAATTCAAGTTAAAAATAGTAGAATAATACTCGTCACAGAATGTATAATTTAAAAGAGAATAAGAGAAAAGAACCAAATGAAATGAGATGATGTTAGTATAAGATATGGAAATTTTTTAAGTAAATTGTCTTAAATTAAATTCATAGAATACAAAAAAAGTTATAACTTATTAAAATATCTTTCTGTGTAGTTTTTATTTAGTTTAATTGAACAATCAAGTGGAGAAATAAAATTAGTTCGTCGTAATCATTACTTACAATTGCCTTGAACATAATAACTATGATAGAACGTTTCAACACAATCATATCTTACAATACAAGTATTGATAACTACATACAATAATAATTATTTTTCAATGATTTTATGTATACTTATATAGCATATTTGCAATTAACAAATTTTATTACATTTCAAATGGACTTGAATATTTTTTCATGCTTCACTAAATTCTATAATTTCACATTGGTTTTATTTTAAGTTATTCAAAGCTTAGGATATGATTAAATGTAAAACCTACGATGTATACTTGCTTTTAATGTAGAGTAGGGGAAGAGTGTAAGTGGTGTCTGGGGTGAAATAACCCCTCAAAAAATTTTTAATCGATTAAGGCTTTTTTTAATTATGTATGAACAGCTTTTAACTAGGATTTTGATATTGTTTTACATAAAATATTTAATACAAAAGTCTATTAAGAATAGATCTTAATTAAATATTAATTATTTTATAATGTATAACGTATCACTTGAAATTGAAGAATCTTTCTTGCAAATTTTTACATTATTGAAACATCGACGATAGCTGAACTAGTAGTGATGAGAATTCAGCATTATTTTACCTATGTATTTCAACTGACAGGCGTTTATTAAACTTTTGTACAAACATTTCTCATTATATTGTGGCTTCGAAACATATTAAGAGCTGTACATCATTTTTAAAAAGATATGTCAGAGTATTTTATGAAAGAACAGTTTAAACGAAATTTATGTGCAAATTAGTCTATAAGTTTGGTTTCAACGGGTAATATTTAAATTTAATCATCTCCTCTTTTATAATATGAACTGCAATTTAACTTTTACATTTATGACATTATTTTGATAGAAAAATAGATGAAGTTTATGATGAATAAACAAACAAGTTTAATTAATTTATCAAGAGTATTTAACAAGAATAATCATATACAATATGTATAAGATCTTTTTTGATATAAAATATTTTTTAGAATGTTAATTAAGTTTACCAAGAAAAAAAAGTGATCAAAAATATCTTTCTATCGAATAATAATAAACAAATTATGTTTTTTTTGACAAGTTTTTTTAGAGAAAAAATTAATTAATAACAACAGTTGAAACATATTACTGAGAATTAAACTAAAAACAATAATAAAAGTTTTTAATGAAAACTATAAGATCGAATTTAAATGAAGAAAGTTTATTATAGGAAAAGTTTTATCGTAAAATGCTGTGATGCATTAATCGAAATTATTTTTCTCTGCATGATTTTTATTTTTCATGAATTATAATACCCCTGAACTATTGTTTTCGTGGTGGAAGTAAAATCTGGTAATAAATATTCTTCAATGACTGTGGAATAAATTTTCTGTCTCATATTTTAAAGTTGTACTTAACAGAACTAAAATTCTGCAAGAATGGTTTCAAATGAAATATCGTAGTTAAGAATTTTATGATTTGTATCCCCAGTAAATATTTTCTTAAATTTCGTACAAGTAACTGAAAATGACATTAAATACAAAGGATTTAGGTACAAAGCAAAAGTAAAAATTAGCTGTCTAATATGAAGGGAAGAAAATACATATCTTTCATCACGATTTTTCCATTATTTAACAGACCTGAAGTTCAATCTAATCGGGCTTGCACGGAGTCCAGCGACTCACTCACGTCGACGGTGGGCAATATTTTAGCGCAGTTATTACCGAGTTATTCTGGAATTGATGGCCGCCGCGTAAATCATCCCGTCAGAATTGATGTACGGACGTACGTACTCCGACTTCCTTTTTTTGCCACTCATTCTTCGTCCCCCAACTACCTTTTTCCTCTCTCTACAGTCCTCATGTACCTCCTCCCATCTACTCTCGTACCAACGACCGACCAAGGACGGAAATTTTTTTAACAAATTCATGTGTACATATATACAAGAACATATAATAAAATTGGAAAGCTTCGACAAGATATTTAAAACTCCAAACAATATATATTTTTTGTTTTATGATTGATTTTAAAATACGATACTGAAACACTTTTTAGAGAAAATTACTCAGATGGAATAACAACCAGGGTAGCAGGTGATGTTCAATTTTCAAAGAATTCGATGAAACCTGATTCAAGATATACTCTGATAGATAAAAGAAATTTTAGAACTTTGTTTTCTAGGGTTATTGCAAACCCATGGGCTCATAGGCAAAATTTTGATTAGCAAAGTACTTGATGAAAGTCGTCTTTCAAACATTTAAGTCTTTTTTTTCTGGTTTAATTACCTCTTCATTGTTTCTGAATATTGTTTTATACTTAATAAGCTACTTACGTAGCTTAATTGGTACTCGATAGGGATTGACAGTTAAAGTTAACTTTTAAAATGCCACGTGCCAGTAAACATAGATGACACACAAGTTCTGCAGTCTTCTCTACCCTAAAAAAGTCATGAAATGAGACGTTGAAATTAATTGAGGTTGTTTTGCTGATGGATTGATTGACTCCTTACATGTTGGTTTAAAAAAAAATTTTCATTTTGAAAAGTTCAGAACTCGAATAAAAAATATTTGGCACGTGTTCAACCATCTATTTATTTCTATAACATTTTAGAATTTATATATACACAAGATCAATACACAAATTTATCTGATGTACTCACTGAGAACTATAGACAAAAGTATTGGAATTGGAGAAAGAGGATAGGAAAGGAAGAGGGAGGAAAATATCCAGGGGTAACGAAGACTTTACAAAATTTTTTTTTCTTTTGTTTACTGAGTTAAATCTACTTGATCTGAATTTAAGTAAATAATGAAAA